AAGCACTTCTTGGCATTAGCAATAGTGTCTGGGTTTGGTGTCCCCAGATGGGATGACTTCCCAGGTGGGGCAGTCTCTGGATGGCCTTTCCTTCAGTCTCTGCTCCACTCTTTGTCCCTATGTTTCCTTTAGACTGGAGGAATTCTGGGTTAATATATTTGAGATGGGTGGATGGCCCCAGCCCTCAACCAGGGGCCATGCCTAACCTCTGGATATGGTCTCTACAGGTTCTCTCTCCACTTTGGGGGGTATTTCAGCTAACATTTCTTAAACTTTTCCCAAAAAGCTAAAGAGGAGAAGCTGCCTAGATCATTTTACAAGGTCAAGGTCACTCCAAGAGCAGAGTCAGGCAAGACTACTACAAGAAAAGTAGAAGGGCATATCCCTGATGAGAATGGAAGCAACCAAAGTCAAAAGCACATCAAAAATATTCACCATGATCAAGTAAAATGTATCCCTTGGATGTGAATATGTGCAACTTCAACATGTTAGAATCAGTAAATACTAGTCACATTAACACAAAGAAGAATAAAAATCACATGATTGTCTCAATAACTACAGAAACCAGACTTTGACAAAATTCAATATTCATTCATGGTAAATTTTCTCACCAAATTGGATGTAGAAGGAATATATCGGAGCATCGTGAAGGTCACATATAAAAAGCCCACAGCTACAATCGTAGTCGGCGAACAATGAGATGCTTCTTTTCCAACTTTTATCATTTCTATTCAATGGAGTACTAGAATTCTTAGCTAGGGCAACTTGGAAAGAAAAAGAAATTTTAAAAACTAAACTGAACAAAAGAGTGGAATTGTCTGTTAATAAATGATGTGATTTTATCTAGAGAACACTACAGTTTCCAACAAAACAGGAAATAGGAGATAATGTGAAACCTCCAGGAGGTGAGTATACCATTTACAGTTGCCCAAGGCCTGCTTCCCTCTCTCCCTAAGCCAGAGAGATTCCTAACCCAGAACCCAGATGTGGCCCCATACCACTGACTGTGTTGGTCACTTAGCACTCCTACTTCTTCTGTGACTTACCTGCACCTGGACTCTATGCAGGATCTCTCAGTGTTGCAGGATAGCTGCTGCTGTCTCATGCCATTGTTGCACGGTAGCAATTGCTGTTTGCACACAACTTTCCTCCTGTGAAGGCTATGGATCTTGATTTGGCTGAGGTGAGGAACTGCCAATGGTCATGCCCACCAGAGGCTACCAAAATTTTCTTATCAAAGGAAATGTGATTGCTGCCACCACAGTTCAACAAAGTGGGAAGACTGGAAAAGTTTACCTCTCTCTGTTCTGCACAGATTTTGTTTGTGTTATATATTGGAATGGACTGAAAGGCAGCTGTAAGTCACATTTTTAAATGTAGGAGGAGTGCTCCACCTCTTAGCAGGAGATGAACTATCCTTAGAAGATTTAGATTTTCAGTCTGGGGACAAAGCTCAGTGTAGGGGTTCTTGTATAGCATATGTGAGGTTCTAGCTTCAATCCCTAGTAAGGATGAGGGGAACAGAATTCAGAGTTTTAGAAAAGCTTTCTTGTTTGTTTGTTGTTTTTGAGGCAGAGTCTCTCTATATAGCCCTGGCTGTGTTGGAACTATGTAGACCAGCCTGGCCTCGAACTCACTGAGATCCTCCTCTATCTGCCTCCCAAGTGCTGGCATTAAAGATGTGTGTCACCATTCCCGGCTAGAAAAGCATTTGTCTACTAAAAAATAAAGACAGAAAAAAAATCACAAAGGTAAGAAATTTCACAGACTAGTGATGCACAATGATTGTCTTTTTATTATTGTTGTCACATTTTAATTTAGTTGTGCGTGTCTGTGTGTGTATACATGAGCATGAGTGCACATGTGGGAAAAAAACAACTTAGAATGGGTCATAGATATAAATGGGAAACAGAAAGTTACCAGTTTTTCAGTAGACAACATGGAAGAGCTGGCCCTGATGGTGCAGACCTATAACCCCATCCATTCTGGAGGCTGAGGCAGGAGGATCACAAGTTGAAGGCTTGCCTAGGCTGCAGAATGAGTTCCAGGATAGCACGGTCAACTTAAAGAAGTTTCATTTTAAGATGAAAACAAACACCAGGCAGAGGTGGCCCACACCTTTAATCCCAGCACTTGGGAGGCAGAGGCAGGCAGATCTCTGAGTTGGAGGCCAGCCTGGTCTACAGAGTGAGTTCCAGGACAGCCAGGACTACACAGAGAAACCCTGTCTCGAAACAAAACAAAACAAAACAAAACAAAACAAAACAAAGAAAACAAATAGATCCAGGAGAGAGTACTTCAGTAGTAGAGCACCTAAAAGTCATTCCTGCATGCAGGTGCACACACAATAAATAAATAAATAAATAAATAAATAACAAAAAATAATGTTAGATCCTAAAACAGAAATAACTCACTGTGTTTAATGTGGATAACACAAAAATGCATGCACACATGCAAATAAATATTATTTTTTTAAAAGTACTGTAAAAGGAATGTGGAAAGGCAAAACTGTCTGACAAGTTCCACTTCAGTGATGTGAAAAGCTTTTATACTATGAAAGAAATACCTTGTTAATAGGAAAGTACTGACTGGAAGGAAACCTTGTAAAACCATCTGTAGACAAAGTACTTGTATGTAAAGTGTCTTTGAATACCCAGAAATCCATAAAAAGAAAATATACAAACTAACTGAAAGTGAGCAAAAAAGTGGGCAAACTAGAGACTCCCTCCAATTTTGTGCTTGGGAGATGAAGACAGGAAGATAAGACGTTTGGAGTCATCCTTGGATACATTATCCAGTTTGAGAGCAGTCTGAGCTTTGTGAGAACCTGTCTCAACAGCAAGGAAGAAAGAAAGGAAAATGGACAAAAGATTTAAACAGACACTTCATTTGAGAAAATACACAAAGGCCAAGTATGATGGTAGGGTATGATGGTAGGTGCCTGTAATGCTGCCTACCCAAGAGGATGAGGTAGAAGGATTACCTAGACTACAGGCAAAGTTCTATACCAGCCTGAGTAACTTAACAAAAACTACCTTGAAAATAAAAATAAACAGATAAGTAGCTTAGTGATAGGATGCTTGCCTAGCATTTCCAAGACCCTAGATTCAATTCCACTAGCACAAAAAAAAGAGGATACACAGCAGGCAAATAAATGAGCAGATAGAAAGCTAGTGAACACCATAGCCTACTAGGATGAGCAACCACAGCACATCCATTTCCGTAGCTTGGTCATCCTCAGTGTGTGAACTGAATCACAAAAATGCAGATATAAGACTCTTTCTTGATAATCCCCTCCAAAGTGCCTCTCACTGGAACACAAAAGATCTTGGAACCATGTGCTAGTGTCAATGGGAATGTCACACACACACTGTTTTCTCACTCTCTTACTTTTCACTATCTTGCTTTCCCTCTTGAGAGAGTCTCCTGTAGCCCAGGCTGACCTCAACTTCATGATGTGTCCAAAGATGTCCTTAAACTCCTGATCCTCCTGCTTCTGCCTCCGTTTGCTAAGATCACAGGTGTGCACCACGACACCAGCTCTACCACTTCATTAAATCCCAAATTCATGGTCAGAAGATAGTGGCAGCATACACGCATGGTCGGCTAGAGTCTACAAGACCAGAGACTGGACAAAGCTAAAGAACAGCTATCAGCCCTGGTTATTCCTAGCTTAAACAGCAATGAAAAATAGGGACATTCACAAAGCAGCAGAGGACATTTAGAGTCTATATTGGAGGAATTGGCACGATCTGGGGAGCTTGCCACTCCCTGTGAGAAGGAACATCAACGGTAGACTACTGTGGAGTCAGAGAGGCATAGAACATCTGCACCTCATGAACATTTCAAAGAGCTGGAGAAAGGCTGTGTCCAGGGCTTCAGCAGCAATGGCTGAAGGACACACACACACACACACACACACACACACACACACAGACACACACACCAAAAACAAAAAACAAAAAACCCTTTCCTCTTCATACTGGGTGCTCAGCGCTGGACTGAGTTGCCCCAAAACACCATCCCAAATTTACCTCTGCTGGGTCTCTTTTTGTTTGTTTTACTTTTTTGGAGAAAGGGTTTTACTGTGTGGCTCTGGTTGTATTTGAACTCTCTCTGTAGACCAGGCTGGCCACAAACTCAAAGATGTCTGCCTGCCTCCGTCTCCCAAGTGCTGGGATTAAAGTGAGTCGTGGAGCCTAACCTGTGCTGATGTCTTGACAACATAAGGGCCTCTGTGGGGTGCACTCTGGAGGTACCCAGAGCAAGTACCCTAAGACTATGTGCTGATTTAAAGTGGAACCCATTACTGAGGATGTAGCTCAGTGGTAGAACACTTGTCTGTCATGAACAAGTCCTGGATTCCATCCTAGGAGAAATAAATAAGCAAATAAATAAATCCCCATTGATCTAAGACATAACATGTTTGCATTTTGTAGTCTGCCATGTCTACTTGCTAAAAGAGTCACACTTCACCCATTCTGAACATTTTAAAATCCTTTGAAGGGACAAAGTAAAACCTAGTGAAGCAGTTGCTAATATACATTTTATTCTCACCATCAGACAACCTGGACACTGCAGGCAGGCCTCTACCCTCAGAATGTATCCACTTAACAAAGCAAGGAAAACCAACCTTTTATAAGGAACTTTCTGAACTGCCAGAGTGAGGATAATCAGCTACCAGGTCAAAGTGCTTTTTCCTTTTGCAAAGCAGTCCTACCTTTTGACCCCAGCTGAAGGAAGGCCTGCTCTGAGAAATTCAGGGAACTGCAGCCTCCTAGAACAAGACCTCAGACTTCAGGAGGACCCGGATCCAAGGACCCAGATAGCAGCCTGAGCCAGAGCAGGAATTAGACAATGGCTGAGGGGAAAAGAGAAGAAGGTCCCCAAATCAGCTGGGCCTGCTCCCTTAGTGAAGAGGCAGAGGTGAGGTGAGATTGTGAGAAGTGTATCAAGTCTTGAAAGTAACCAGAGGACTTATATGGGTTGTGTCTCTTCAGGAGCTCTTTCTATCCTGGGTATACCCTATTCCCTGCTGTTCACTAGCTTATGGCCTTTGTCTGTGCTCTTCTTAGCCTGGGTTGCCTATGATTGGAACACTCACAGTCAAGGTAAGAGATGGGAGCCAAATCATGGCCCCATCTGTGCTAAGGGTGGGAAGACAGAAGAGGGAGGTGGAGAAAAAGATGAGGGAAGATGGGAGGGAAGGTCAATGACTAGCTGCCCATGAAGCTTTAAGACAGATCTGTGAGCAGGTACCTCCAGCCTCAACTTGTCTCCCTCTCACCTTGCTGGTTTTCTGTTTGGGAGTTGGACTTGGGACATCTGAAATGGAAGAAGGAGGATGCTTCTGTAGTTTGAGGAGCATCAGACAACTTCTTTACCTTTGGGAGGGGTATAGGGACTGGTGATGACACACTTGCCCTTCTCCTTTTTTCTCTGTGCACAGATGGTAGGCGTTCAGCTTGGGTACGAAATTGGACTCTCTGGAAATATTTCCAAAGCTACTTCCCAGTAAAGGTAACTACCTTTCCTTTGGATGCCCATCTTTCTTCTGGATGCCCTTGCTCCTTAGTGCTTGACTGCCCACTTCCTACTGAGATCCATGTTTCAAGGGCTCTAATGGCCAATAGTAAAGGTGAAGGCCTAGCAGTGTAATGTAGAACAGAATCCCAAACTAGATGTGCAAATGGGGAGACAGATGAACAATACCTTTTCCACAGTGGCAAATCCAGTCCAGCATCTCTTACCACCATGATCCCTGGGAATCTCTGTGACAATAATATCATAATGAGCAAGGACATGGAGACTATCAGCTGGGCTCTGAGTTTTTATATCCTTTCTTCCTTCTGCCTGATCAGTCTTCCTCAATCTTCCTCTAACAGCTGGTGAAGACCCATGACCTTTCTCCCAAACACAACTACATCATTCTCTGCCACCCCCATGGCATTCTCAGTTATGGTGCCTTCATCAACTTTGCTACTGAGGCCACTGGCTTTTCCAGGGTTTTCCCTTCTATCACTCCCTCTTTAGCAACCTTGGAAGGGATCTTCTGGATCCCATTTGTGCGAGACTATGTGATGTCCATGGGTGAGTACAATAAATCATCCTGTTCTGAAATTCAACTCAAGATGCCCGGCCCATTAATCCCTGGCAGTCATTCTGTAATAGAAGACTTGATTTATTTTTTTAAAAGAGTTCATTCAGTATGAAGAGTATGTGCCCAAGTATCAGATTCTGTACAAGGTGTAAGAAGTAGTTCAGTTGGGCAGGAAGGGACGTTACAGGCATTCATGAGTTCCCAGGATCCCTTACAAAGGATAATCAGAAGACTAAGTGTAGAAATGGAAAGCAGAGAGTAAAAGCCACACATTAAACATGAGTACAGGGGAAATCATGCCAGAGTCTTCTCTGGGATGCCAATTGACTTCTTTCATATCTCTCTCTCTCTCTCTCTCTCTCTCTCTCTCTCTCTCTCTCTCT